CTAACAGCTAGCTAGCTAGCTATCAAGCGAACCGGGCAGCTGGCTAGTTAGCATTAGCTCGTCAACAGCAGAGTGAAAAGCCGGCTGGAAAGTCACAACTAGCTGTCGACCACATTACGGGTCTGTGACGGACGGAAGCAGACAGCCCGCGTCGAAATAGTCAAACCACCATTCTAGCCGCCGTTGCTAATGTACCACTCAACAAGAAGCTTCGAAAAAAATATATTTCCTAAAGCTAAAAAGTGCTAAGCTAGCAAGCTAGGGGAGTGAATAGCCTGCTGGCTGGCGAGGCAACTGGCTGACAACGCCTTGGAAAAACATCCTAGAAACACTGGGATCGGGCTGCGGGACGGCACCGAAGGTTGTGCGACTTGTTCTCGGCTTTTTCTCACATGTAAATGACTCGGCGGTGGCTCCAAACCAACGACGATGTGCGATTAAATAACACGATTACCTCTCAGCGTTGTTGGGACGTCAATATGGCGATGCTCGAGATCAAGAGCTTAGTGCGAACAGCCTTCCCCGCAGAGGGCGCTCTGCTTTTTCTCTTTCAGAGGGGAGATTGGAGCTCCATCTGCCACCAACAGGTCTGACTCGAACAGAAACTTCTATGTGCGAGTGTCTGGGGGGTGTTTTCTGTCACAACTGCTTTAGCTTTTGTTTTTAAAAGAATGTGTGTCAGATGTAGCCCAGAGCAGCAACAACATGCACACTTCACCACCACATGCCCTGAGCTTGTTGCTGGCTTTAGTAAATCAAATCAAACTTATTCATAAAGCATGTTTAAAACAATCTGAGGTGACCAAAGTAACAGGGGACGACAAATATATGTGCATAAATCGCAAGACAGCAAACATAATAAAAGTTTAATTGCAAAAAAACAAGACAAACATCACAACAACTTGTAAGATCAGCTCAAAAAATGACATCGATAGAAAATACTCAAATCTTTAGACCATTAAGGGTATTTGAAAGCCATTAAAAAACATGTAGATCTTCAGATTTTCCTTAAAAAAGTGTTATTGGAGAAAGATAATTAACCAGCCTCCATCATTAAGAAGCTTAATGCCAGAGAAGTTCTAAAACGCACAAAGAAAACAAACTTAAAATCAGATCCTATCACTTCTTTTTAACATTAGGAGATAAGTATTTGTTGTCCCGACACACGGCGTCTCTATAACAGAATGGATGTCATGACAAAAACAAAATATGCATCAGGAATCTTTACTGGGATCACAGACCAGAAATCTCAAGTCGGCAGAGTTACTGAAGTTGTCGATGCTGCTTGTGGAGCGTTGTTTCGCTCTTTCTCGCGGTCTCAGTGAAGTTGAGACATTTTAGGGGGCAGGATCATGCTGTGGGACCATCAGAGCTATTCAAAGCAATTTATTAGATCACTTGTGGACATTTAGAGGTCCTGGTTAACTGACATGCCAGCATCCAGTTCTCGTCTTGTCATCTTGAATAAAGCTACATTTTAAGGTGGAATTTTAAAGCTGCTGTGTCCTTTAAAGTCCCACCAGACCACCAAGCTATGGAAAGAATTTGTCATCAGTTATGCAGAATTTGCTTAATTCAACCCTTTTCTAAACATGACAAGAGAAATTAGATCTCTAAGAGAGGACCATTTGCATGCTATTTGGTGTAACAGGTAGCTGGTACAGGTGTGATGCTTTTCATTTTACGGTGTCGGTTAGGAGTCTTGCAGCAGACGAGACAGAAGGTACACAGAGTTACAGTCATTTAACTTTAATCAATTTAAAGCAAAGCTATTTAGGCAGATTTCAATTTGGTATTTGAGGGTGGCACTTTTTCCAGCACAGAGTTGATCAGTCTGTCAAATTTCTGAGCAGGTTCATGGTGTAGGGATGAAGATTTGGTGTCAGCAGCTCTAACTGGCTGGTTCTGCTCATTGTGCTGTTGGAAGGACTTGAAACCTGAAATATTTCGGCAGTTACCCCCTTTTATTTAGTTCAAGTCATGCATTTGAGCACATTTATTAAAAAAAACGAAACAAAACGGATGCTTCACAATCAGCAACCAGCAGTTTGAAGACAGTAGACATACAAAAACATGTTTATATCATTAAAGGAGTACAGGAGGCGCATGCATGAGGTAGCAAATCAAATGGTTTAAGATACGATAAGATAAGATCAGCCTTTATTTATCTCACAGTGGAGAAATTCACATTGTTGTTAGCAGCATTAAACACAGAGATGCACACATACGAGACAGAAAAATGTCATTTCATAATAATCGTATCAGAAACCAATTTAAGACCAACGTTCAGCGGGTGTGTTTGTAAAAGGGCCGTTGTTAGTTAAGTTATCGAGGGGCTGCACTGGATAAATGGACAATAGTGAAACAGTGACAAAAAACAATCTTCTGCATTATTTAAAAGGCTTCTTCAGCCACAGAAAAGCCACTCGGATCATTTTCCCGAAGTAACAAACAACCTGTAATCAACACATAATAGAGGGAAACCCTAATCGTGAGCTGGGATGTTAGGAACGGTTGTTTTCATACTGAGCTGAAATGAATGGACCTGTGTCAGCTTCTCAGAAGCTCTCATTGTCTGCACGCAAGTCGCGCACCGTTCAACAAACAGAAATAGCCTTTGAGTGCAACTCAATCTGATACGTCCTGTCAGAATCTGTAATTAAGGGCCGGCTAAAGGGTTAAAAGCAGGATAAAGTTGCGGTACATAAAGACTGAGGTGCACAGGTCCTGACCAGCAGTGGACACAGCAACGGCAGCAACGTCAACAATGGAGACGTAAGTTTATTTGTCTTATTGAAATGCATTTTATTTTCTAGCAGCAAATGAAATAACACAATAATATTGCATTTCTCACTAGAAAGGTGTGATTTTATTTGTTTCAGCTTCGTGTGGTGTCTTCTGCTGCTTCCATTTGGAAATATGGTGACAACAGCTCCGATCAGAGGTAAACCAGAGAATACATCATCTCATGTCGTTTTGAACTTTCTCAGTTTTGTGCAAAAAATTCAAGATTGATTAAATACTCCAGCTGGGATTACACTCTCTGTCATTGTTTCTTTTAAAGCCCAAAGAGAAAATGTGTTAAACTTCCTAAACGGTGAGATCCATGATCATTTATCAGTTCGTTTTACGTCGTTTAGTGTTTGCTAAACAGTGCCGCACTGAAATAACTCGTTTATTACTGTTGTTGCAGATGCACTCGGCGCAGCCACAGAAAAGACCGTACCTGCAAATATCACAGGTCTGTGATTGAAAATGTGACACACAAGGTGGCATTACTTTAAAAACAGGAAGCTCTGGTCGCTCGCTAGATCCTCATAATAGCACTTTTGGTTCCCCAGAACAACTGATGGCAAAAGAGAACAGAAACGGTCGTTGTGTTGCTTTAATCTTCAAAGTCTTCTGTGATGAACCTTTTCTGCTTTATCTGATCGTTGAAACCACCTCAGTGACTCTCGACGTTCGTTTTCTCGTATCTGCAGCATCTAGAAACCCTCCAAGCAGACCTGTGAACGAGCCTGATTCTGAAGGTACATTTTCGTGTTGTTGTTCACGGGAAAGGTCATGAAGAGTACACAGCAGTCGAGTGGGTTCTAAATGTTTTGGTTATTATATATGTAGTGAACTAATTAACGCGTCACTTTGATTTCCAAATTCTCGTTACATGTGGCATTCCCTCACTTAAAAAAACACAAACTTCATTCACAGATTTGTCAGAGGCAACATCTACAGAGGTTGTTTACACCACCGATGCATTTCCAGGTGGGTGAGCTTTAGATCTCGTGCAAACATATTCCACTGGATGCAAACAGAACAAGCATATCTCGTTATATTTCAGAACCTGGAGTACCTAATGAGGACAGAGGTGTGTAGATCTAACATGTGTTGATGTGAATATCATGACTCTTCCCAGATGTATCGAAATACCGCGACAGTGACGAGACGGCGGTTCCTGAAGCTGCAGAAAAAGAAAAAGCTCCGTCCAGGAAGACGGCAGGAGGTGGCGGAGATGACGTCCTGAGCCGAGACCGCGTTCAACAGCCAGCGAGCAGAGATCTGGCGAGCGAGGAAGGAACGATGGTGGACGAAAACACGTCCAGCGTCGACAAAGTGCCTGACGTTGCCGGTCGACTCTTCCGTTCACCAGCAGGAAGAGTTGACAGGATGATGCTGTATGTAGATAGTGTGGAGGAGAACGCCGGCAGACTGACTGTAGCAGGAAGCAGCAAACACACAGACTATGATGGTAAGATCTGCATCACAGGAAACAAAACACTTCCAGGAATGATGCTGCTGCTGCTGCTCTGTGATTAATCTTCATGTTCCCACAGAAACCAGAGAATATATGAGCTCTGAAATTCATCCAATTGGTAAGATGTTTCTTCTACTGGTGAATAATTTAAATACAGAGTTTTGTTATCAATGCTTTCTATAAAGATCATTTCTCATATATTCTTTTTCTCCTCCGTGCCTCAGCGCCTCCACAGCAGAGACCCTGCAGCTCGCCCGCCAAGAGCAGAACCAGCTGATGGTCCGGAGGTCCGTCTCGTTTCCATTTCAGTCAAACAAATGTTTTCTGCATGTCCTAAAATTTGTCACACTCCAATTACAAGAAGAATGCAGGAGTGACAGGATGCATGTTTAACAATTGTTTTTTCGGTTTTTTTTTTTTTTTATTTTTTCCAGATTGTATTTCTTCCTGGTAATGAGTCAGGAGCCGCCATCTGTTGACTCATCCGAGGCAGTCGGGCTGCTTCCACATTCAGATGCTTCTGGGACTTTTTCCTCCTAATTTAGATTTTTTCTTGTAACCCGATCATGTGAACACATATGAGAAATAAAGAGTTTTTTTTTTTTTGTGTGACAATTCTGTGCACTCAGCGTGTAAAGCTTGGTATGAGGACATCTCAGAAAATTAAAAAAAAAGAGCACATGCAAGTATTATTTGTGATTTGTGTTTAAAATGTAGTTTAATTTAGATTTATTTAAATACAAATACATACTTTAAGATACATTTTACAAACAAAACGAGAGTGCGACGGTAAATAAAACAATCAGTTTGATGGAAAATACACACAGATACAGCAGATAAATGGGAAAGCATTTGATATTATCTGACTCGACTTTATAAACTTAATTACAGACAATTTCATTTCCTAAAGTGCCGAAGCTCACTGTACACATCTGACTGGACTCCATGTAACTCCTACAAAACAAAATCAAAGCGGTTCATCATTGCAACGCAAATAAAACATGACATTAAAAAGTCTACTGAGGCTGATTTTGGGCCTATTTTACCTGATAGGGAGACTCTGTGACCTCTGTTGCCATTTTCTTGGACATTGTTGATGGCAGATTTCTTTTACTTGCTAAAAAGGAAGTGTCTGATTAGTGCCCACTTTCCATCATTGTATTGGTAAATTAGCAGCAACAAACACAAAACTCTGCTCACCATCGTGAGATTCCCTCCTCCTCCTCCGATGGTGAGTTGCGATGCAGAACACAGAGATGGTGATGAGGATGGTCAGAATAATATCAGAGGCGAGGATGCCCAGTACGGAGCCCATGTTTATCATGTAGCATGAACCGCAATCTGTGGGGAGAGAAAAAAAAACCACACAAAAGTGAAATAATCCAGCATGAGACAGGAGCTAAAGGTCTAGACGAGCTGCATACCTTGCTGCCCTTCTGCTGATCCTGCAAGACAAAGAGTTGATGATAAATTGAGAGCGTTCCCGTGTTCGTTTACAGTTGAACCGCTGTTACATTAGTTCGAAACACTCACCGAACACTGAACCCACAATACAGAGAGACATCTTCTCGGTGTTGGTTTCTGGCCGAGGAGGATATAAAAAGCCTTCTGCTCTTCTTGTTGTCGCACCCATAAACAAGAAGTCAGAGGTGGGAGGGCTCTCAGATGAACAACTGTCCACGGTCTGTGTAGTCAGCGGTGGGCGTCCACTAAGAGAAGAGGAAGCTGGTGTTTCTGTTTCTTTCGTGCCACCTTCATGTGACGGCTGCTGGTGTTGTACAAAAAGAAAACATTGCGCGCTGTACATTTGATCAACAGGCCTTGTTTTGTTTTTTGACTGTTTTAGCAGTTAAATTAAATGAGATCTTCCAAGTTAGGCCGAGATAAGAGCCTTAAAAGGTCAGCTTAGTTACACCTGCAGTTTCTGCCGAAACGAGTGTGATTGTATCTTGAAATAAAGCGTTTCCTCCTGACCTGTGGCTTTGTGCAGGCGGTTGGCCACAGTCAACTTCACTGTTGCCTAGTGTCACAGCCATCCTCTAACCACAGGTTTATCTCTAATCGGGTTACGCTGTCAGCGAAACGAAAGCACACCGTCGCTGCTTTTGTTGAACAGACTGTTGTATCAAATACAGATAACAAGATAATTCAACTGTTCAGATGATGAAT